TGTGTGAGGGAGTGAGTGTGTGTCTGAGTGTGTGAGTGAGTGAGTGTGTGTGAGTGAGCGAGTGAGTGAGCGAGTGAGCGTGTGAGTGAGCGAGTGAGCGTGTGAGTGAACGAGTGAGCGTGTGAGTGAGCGTGTGAGCGAGCGAGCGAGTGAGTGAGTGTGTGAGTGAGTGAGTGAATGAGTGTGTGTGTGTGTGTGTGTGATTGACACCTGTCCGTCATGGCGATCTGCTCCAGCATGGCTGAACCTGTGTTGGCCTTCCAGTTCCCTGAGATGGATGTCCTCCTGAAACACACACACACTCCATCACCTCGTCCTGCTGATCATGTTTTCAATAATGGGTTTCTTTTACCCTCATAATGCATTCGGGTCCATTTTGACACAAAAGAAATATAAAAATGCCTAAAACTGCATAGTTTTTAGTAAGAGGTTCTCACACAACACACACACACACACACACACACTCTCACTCACACACACACACACACACACTCACACAAACACTCACTCACTCACACACACACACACTCACACACACACACACTCACACACACACATGCTCTCACATGTAGGCTTTGTAGTTGCTGCCGATCTTCTGGATGCGGATGTCGTATTTGGAGTGGACGAAGGGCTCGGCTGTGGCGTAGGTTTTAGCGATGGCCACCACACTGGTGATGTCCTGGAAATCACTGGCCGTCTCCACCTTTATCTGCCACACAAACACACCTCACGCATTACCCACAATCCATCTGGAGCAACAGAATGAAGCATCCAGTGAAAACACACACACACACACACTCATACTCACACACACACACACACACACTTCACAGACGGCCCAATCACAGCGCGGGGCATGATGACATCATCGGCTCCTACCTTGCCCATGCCGGAGTAGGCGTGTCCCATCTTCACCACCACTGGGAGTGATGCGGTGGGCAGCTGCAGGAGAGAACAGAGAGGTATTTTAGGCTGTTGTTGGTTTTATCGTGACTGGAATGTTCTGGGAAAGCCGTGTGAGGAGACGAATCCCCGCCACAGACAGACGCCCAGTGACTTCTCGAGAACACCAACACACACACACACACATACACCTGATCAACACAGTCTGAGCGTCATTTCTCTGAAGCTTTACGAGGCTGGAGCAGAAAGATCAACAGTCGAGAGTGACGCTGCACTTTCACAGCACAGATTATCAGTGAACATTCTGCATAAACACAAGCTATTTCTAGCACTAATAGATCATTTAGTGTTGTGTGAGATTACCACAGAAAAGTACTGTATATATAAATAAAAGTATATATAAAAAATTAAATAAAAAGTACACTACCATTTAAAAGTTTGTGATTCAAAAAAACACACTGAATACATAATACTTTTATTAATCAAGGATGCATTAAATTGATCAAAAGTGACAGTAAAGTAATTTATAATGTTATAGAAAATTTCTATTTCAAATAAATGCTGTTTTATGAACTTTCTATTCATCCTGAAAAATAAAATGTATCACAGTTTCCACAAAAATATGAATGTTGTCAACATTGATAATAATCAGAAATGTTTCTTGAGCAGCAAATCAGCATATTAGAATGATTTCTGAAGATCATGTGACACTGAAGACTGGAGTAATGATGCTGAAAATACAGCTGCGCATCACAGAAATACATTACAGTTTATTAGATATGCACATAGAAAACAGCTGTTTTACATCATAATAATATTTCACAGTTTTTACTATATTTTTCATCAAATAAATGCAGCTCTAGTGAGCAGAAGAGACTTCTTTCAGAAACATAGTGTATATAAAAATAAGTGCACATATTTGTTTGTCTTTCCATTCAAATGTGCATCAGTGTTGAGGAATTCCCCAGTAAACACTCTTACACACAAACACACACACACA